GACCATGTCGAGACGCGTAAGGCCAGCGACTCGTGTAAGAAAGCCCATTTCAGCAGCTTGTACCCGGGTTAAAAGCATTTAAATGATGGTCCACGACTCATGACCATAAGTACGCATGGGGATAAAGATCGACTTGAATATTGAGAGCTTAGTTTTCAGACTGAGCTCTGCTTTAGCCACAATAGGTCGGGCTAGTTCACACAGAACGCCACCGGCTACTCCAATTTGCCGGTCGATTTCTTCCTTCAATTTTTATCATTAGTAAATACAGTTCCGAGGTACTTGAACTTCTCCACCTGCTTCACTGTCTCTCCGTTAATCTGAAGAGAGCAACGGGCAGGAGAACGAGTAAGCACTAGGCTTTTCGTTTTAGATGCGTTCACACGCATGCTTCTTGAATAAAATATTGCCCAATGTTCTGCAGTCTTGTAGTGGTAAACTGTAAACCCCATGTCATTAAGGAACCTCTTGATACGTTGACATAACTAGGGTAAAATGAGCATTGGTTTGTACTAGCAAGAAGTCCGTAGGTTCGAGCTGGGGTGCACAAATTTCTTATAAAATATCCTTCTCTTTTAACCGTTCTTTGGAAACGTTGCATCTCCATTTTTAAGCTAGATGTTATGTCACAGGTTTCCTGTGCAGATAGGCACATCTTTCACAACCTTGCTAAACAAATCGAACGAAGTACTGGAAGTTCAATGTTCAAATCAAAAAGCATCTGCGACCCGCCTTGTAATTCCGATATTGCTCAACATGCCATCTCTGAAGGACACTCTTTTAGTCGGAGCAATGCATGTGTCGTAGACAAAGATCATTATAAATTAGGTCTACCTGTTAATAAAGTCCCTGCATATAGTGGCAATGAAATACCGGATGTGCTGTGAATACACATCATCCGTGGTTATTAGGTAGGGATGGGTGGGTCTTAATCAGAAAATTTATCCTAAATATCGGGTCAGCAAAGCAAGGATCCGATTGCATCTGGATTTTTTAGTTAGCATTTTGGTTTTATGTTGGTCAGGTAGTTGACAATTACTTTGAGTATGTTTCAATCACGAAACAATAGCACTGTTCTCTTATTAGATATAGCTACTTTCAAGCAGCCATTTGTGTGCCGCCCTTGTGTCTACGGTGGCGAAACGCGTTGACGATGAAGCTTTCATCAGTTGCTCTGTTTTGTGTCCTGAGCCTTGAATCGATCAATCACCTATCGAAGTAACTAAGGCCCTGAATCGGAAATCTCGAGCCATATTAATGGACAGAAGTGTGGTTTTGGCATATCCTTGCATTCTACAGCAAGGGACGGCAACAACTGTTACTCTGTAGAGACACAGAATACTGACGTTTCTTGCTCTTGTATATTGTGTGGAACTGCGTCCTGCAAGCTGGATAGCAGTTTTTCTGCATAGCATCAGGAAATAATTACTTACATAGAAAGAACCCTTTCAGGGTTGACATGAATCAACTGGCAGGGTTCTTATTTCGAAATCATCCTGGACATCTAAGGTATAATCCATTTCCAAGCTTT